AGTAGCTGATTAAATTCAGACAGAAAGTCAAAGAGAGCTCTTCTACTCTGTTGTAGATTGTTGAACTTTTGCATAGCCTTTTTCTGTCATGCAGAATCACTAAAGAGCATGCATGTCTGCTCCAGTAAGCTCTCTATCATGAAGTTGATCTTGTTCTTATTATTCTCAACTCAGAGATAAACTTGAGCTGCTGTCATTTCTTTTAGTCTCAAGTACACATATCAAACACATTCCTCATTATTACATAAAGCTTTCTCATCAATCTTAAGTTTTGATTGAAGCTTTAGCTCCCACTGAGAGAAGTGCTTCAGATTAGAATCATCATACTTCTTGTAGTCTGATAGCTTGATCTTTGATCTTCTGACTACAATAAGTAATTGTGAGTTTGATTGAGAGAGAGTTGATATCAGAGTGTTCAAAGCTTGTTGTAGATTAGCTATTTCAGCTTGCTGAGCTGCTATTAAATCTCTGTTCTCACACTGGACCTGTTCCTGCTGTTGAAGAAAGACCATTCATTGTTGTTTGAAGCTGCTGAGGGCATCCTTACTCATTGCTTCACATTGATTCATTTATGTATTTGTTGTACAAGTCTGTTACTTTATCTCATTCAGCTAGACATTTTCAATGTTGCTCATTCATTTGTTAGCATGATTGCTAACTCAGTCTATTCATATATCAGTGCTATCACTGAACTTCATGATACAGGATTTAAGACTCTCAATAGTCTATCATATGTTAGCATGTTTGCTGAGCTTCATGATACAGAATTAAGGCTCTCAGTGATCTATCAATGAAAGAAGTGAAGTAATTCATAATGTAAAGAGTTAAGCTCTAAGAACTAGAGGCTAGTCCTCCTATATAACAAGGACGAATTGCTTGAGAAAGGGAAGAAAAGAATGAGATGAGAACTCAAGCTTAAGCAAGCTCACATAGCATGATCATGTGCGTACGTGCAAATGATGGCTAGGCTGAGTCAGCCAGCCAGAGCGAATCTAGGGGTTCAGCCCCTTATACATATCAATATAACTATCAGTAAGCTTAGTGTGAAAATTTAAAAATTTTATATAATTGATTTATTTTAATACATTATATAATAAAGAAGTAATAATTCTATTAGAGAAAATTTAAAAATTTGATAAAATTAAATTTATAATAATAGTTATATTAATAGTTAGAGTGATTACTATAGTTGAGAAAAATAATAAGTTATCTTTCATATAGTCAAAAAATACTAAATGAGTAACTATTAATAAAGAAGTAAATATTACAGATTAAGGTCTATTTTTCATGATTATATTTAAAAACATGTATCATTAATTCCCATGATATGAGCAACTATCAAAAAACTGAATAATTACTGTTAATGAGAATAACTAAATCACAGATAAGCTTGATTTAATATAACTACAAAAGATATTTAATAGATTTATTAATATTTATATAATTAGTAAAAAAAACTACCAATTCTGAGTAAATATAATAGTTATATTATAGTTAAATTTAATAAGTTTTATTTAAATCATGATATTATAGTATTATATATATCTTCTCGCTTTTCTCATTTACTGCAGTTATTAGATATGAGCTGCTTTTCATTATTGAAGAAAGTATATAATAAGAAGTTAAAGTAAAGCATAAAACTATATCAATCATATTAATAATCAAGAATTTTTAATTAATTATGCAGCAGATATGTAGAAAATTATAAAAAATACTACTATAAAAATTAAATCCAAAGTTATAGATCAAGTATTATATAATTTAAATCAGATTTTTATTCAACTTCGTACTTAATTTTATTTTTCTTTTCTTTCTGAATTAGAGTATAAATTTCAGCTTTTCTGAATCTATAAAATTTTTTATAATATAGCTAAATTGAAACTATAAAGCAGTATAATTAAATATTATATGAAGATTCATTTTAATTCTATCAATCAAGCTATTAATTAATTAGTGAAGAAATATCAGTTAATTATATATAATACTACTATATTAATAAAGGAAAACTCAGAGCTGAGAGCTACTAATATTAGATAGAAGTGAAAAAAAGAGAAATTATATTTTTATACAAATAAAAATAAAATTTTAACAATTTAAAATATATTAACTAAGACTGCTAGACCTTAGAAACTTGATCAATATATAAAAAAAAAATTGAGAATTTGTATTCAGAGATTAGAAAGTAAAAGTTTTTAATCTACAGTAAATATATATATTTAAATAAAATATTAAACAGTAGGAACAAATCTAAATATTTATTCTATATAATTTCAATATATAAATTCTTGTAATTATTATTTAATTTGAAATTTTATCAAATAAAATAATAAGAATAATTCAGTATATAATATGATCTGATAGATAATTGATTTTATTAATTATATAAACTATATCTAGCTGAGTTTCTATAATTAAATATATTAATCTTCTGATAATCTTTTTAAATACAGAATGTTCATTTATATCTAATAAATAAAACATTGATTTTTTAATTTTTTTAATGAGATTGAAAGAAATAAATATTAAATTTATATAACTTATTTTAAATTTATTAAGAGTTTAGTAAATATAGTAATGATAACTAATTATTATTAAATTTTTAATAAATTATTCAATTATTATAATAAAAATAATTAATTAAAATTCTTTATAGAGTAAAATTTTTTAATTATAATTTCTAAAATTTAATATTTTCTTTAATTTTTTATAAATTTAAAATATTATTATTATTGAAAACTATAATTATATCATGTTTATTAATAAATACATTAATATCAGCTGTTGAAAATTTGAAGTTAATATCTTAAATATCAATACTGATCTTATATTTAATAGGTATTTTAATTATTTTAATTTATATAAACTTTTAAGTAGTGATAAAACTATATTTCTATTAAATTTTAAACTATTATATATATTCATTGTGTTTAGTAAAATTATATACCAGTTAAGCTCAATAACTAGTCTAAATAGAATTTAAAGACTTTTTAATTAAATGACAGAAGTGAATATATTATCAAAATTATTATTATATTAGTAACAAAAGTTACTGACTATTAGTCTAACTTTAAATTACTCAGGATTTTCAATTTGAATATTATATTTAATTTTGATTATTTATTTGAATAAAATAATTAATTTATTGACTTTATATTTAACTATTTTTTAAATATTAAATATATTAAAACTTTTATAATTTATTCTCAATTATATTATATTAGTACTGATTATATAATAAATCTATGATACTATTTTGATAGATATTTAATTTAAAGGTTTATTTTAAAAAATTTATAATATATATCTTGATTAATATTATAAATTTATAAATTTCATAAATATTCTCTATTCTATAATAAGGTAAATTTACTGAAATTCTTTATTCTTTTTACCTTTATTGTTAAAATAAATTTTAATTTTAGAAGCATCTGAAGCTACTTATAAGAGTTTAAACTATTATTTAGATTTTGTAAATACTGATGATAATTTTTACTAACTGATATTTAAAGTTGACAACAATTCATCAATAGATTTATCAATTGATTCTTTAATTTATATATACATATTTTTGATATTAACTTTATAAAATTTAGTTTCTATATCAGATTCATTATTAAACTTTCTAGCTGACTGACTAATATAATTTTAATTATCAAATTCATTATCAGAATCACTAATCTCAACTATTTAATATATCAGATTAAGTAATAATTTAATTAAAAAATTTAATATTAATAGATTTATAAAACTTTAAAATTTTTTATTCAATTTTTTTTATTTCTATTTCTCTAATTTTAAAAATCTTATAGTTCTGATAAATATTGCAAAAATAATCTTAATTACTTACTTATTCTATATATAAATAAAATATTAATTTTATAATTATATACATTTAATAAAGATATTTTTCTTGATTTATAAAATAAAATTATAATTTTAATTTTAATTGACTATATGAAATCAACATTTTAACTTTTATATTTATAGATTTAAAAGATTAGACTTTTAATTATATTAGAGTTTATATAATTTTTTTTTAATATTAATTATATATATAATATGATTTCAAATATATTTTGTATTTTTGATAGTATATGATTAGAACTTTTATTTTTCTTTTTTATATTTTTTTTTTCTAATAAATTTATCTTTTCGTTTTAATGAAATATTAAAATCATATTTAAAAGCATATTTATTATAATTATATTATTAATGATAATGAGATTATTGAATACATTATATATAATTATTTTAAAATAATAATATATTTAAATATTAAATAGTTTTAATTTATTACTATTTTTAATATTTAATATTTATTGATTTTTAAATATATTAAATATTTAATAATTTTTAAAAAATATTTATTACTTGATAATATTTAATACTTAATAATGATATATTTTATTAAAAAATTTATTTCTTCTAAAAATATGTATTTCTTTAATAAATCAAATTTTCTATCTGTTCTGAGATTGATTGTAGCTTTAAGTATACATAGCTGACATGTTATTTACAACTTATTTTAATTAAAAGACTTGGTTATCTCATGAAGGACAATTGTTGTAATGTGAACAAACTAGCTAGTTGAAATCTAGGCTAGTACATCATTTAACAATTTTCTGTGATCAACATTGTGAGATTTTGTTATTTTATGTCTGGGTCAAGCTGGTGATTATGACCTCTACACTTCTACCTACATTCACTTCAACTGCCTCATTATAATAGTCGCCGTCGCTCACTCTGTACCGTGCAACCCTTCTTGCGAGTCTTCTTCTTCCCCTTCTTC